GGTTCCCCTTGCTGAAGGGCAACGACGCCAGGAGATCGTGAGCTATGTTGAACACTTATGTGAAGCTGGCGGCGCTCTGCTGCCTCGGAGCCGTCTTCAGACATTTCTAGTGGCTCATGATGTCAGGCAAGGGAGAAACATTTTAGTCTGTGAATGCGTTAGTCTCCTCACGAAGCCGTGCGGTTATGTCTTGTTGCAGTTGGGACGCCTGCAATTCCTATTACTTCTATCACAACGGCAAGCAGTAGATTCATCAATGGTAGGATTCTTAATGAGCCTGTTTGGAATGGACAGGTGTAAGCAAGGCTTTCGGGAGAAAAAGAAATATACGACACCCCAAGGCTCCACCGTTGATGCCAAAGGGCTTTTCCAGGCCTTGCTGGCAGATGCTATAGGTAACGCGTTTGTTATTGATTTGGAAAAATGCAAGACACCAGAGGCCATGGAAACTGGCTCTAAGGCTAATGTTTTGTGTACACACTATATACAAGAAGCGAAGGTGCGCGCCACTCTCAAACCTATTCTTTTTCTAGTAGCAAGCGGCGACATTGAGACGGCTAAAAGGAAGGCGCGCAACTTCTCCCAGGACTTGAAACAAGCAAAGGAGGACTGGGAAGATGTAGAAAAAACACAGGCAATCGCGAGAGTTCATGCTGCAATGTCCGTTACCCTGAGTAAGTTTCTAGCAAATCTCATCCCAGTTTCTGACATCAAAAGCTCTTGAATATATGGCACTTGGGGAAACATGTCTTCATGAGATCCCAGTGACAGCACCCAGTGACAGCATATTCCAGCCGTAAAGCCGAGGGAATAGGGAATTTTACAAAAGTCCAAAGGGTCAGTCTTAAGGCCACGTGTTGAGTGTGTGATTGTTTGCAGGCTTTGCTCTGTCTTCGTGGAAGGGAACGCTCGCATCTNAGGCCACGTGTTGAGTGTGTGATTGTTTGCAGGCTTTGCTCTGTCTTCGTGGAAGGGAACGCTCGCATCTTGGATAGCTAGTATAAAGCTACTAAGGCCGTTGCTTCGCAAAGTGTTGGGTGAAGTGACTGCTCAAATATTTGAGGGTAACGAGGAAGCAACGAGGTTCGGTATAGATGTGGACAGCGTGGAGAAACACCCGGCGGTTACCAGTGGGGCGTTGTTAAAGTACGCCCAAGTGCAAGTAATGCGCGTTGCAACAGAAGCTCGATTCTTTTGTCACACGGGATATACGGGACTTGGCAGAGCACTTGGCGGTGCACTGAAGACAGTCACACGTAGTCTAGCGCGTGCAGAAGTGAGCGACAGCAGGCAAGAACCCGATGGAATAGCGGACTTCTTGCCTAGTTATATGTTTTCTGAGATATCATCTTCATCGAATTTTGTCAAGACGGCCCCTCGTTATCCGATGAAGTTCCTGAATACAACTGTGCATGACTCCCTCCCCTCCTTTGTGACCACGCGAATCTTTAAGAAACCACGTCGTATAGCTGGTTCAGTCATGGCCTTGATAGGCTCTACAACGGGGAAGAAGCTGAAAAAGATATTGAAGAAAGTCGAAGTTGGAGGAAAACGCGTATTCGCAGACAGCAACTTTCTTAAAAGACGATGGTGGAGCGTTTTAGGGGCAATCGTGCGAAGGCTACGGGTGAGGGATCAGCTGATGCTGCCACTTGTCGTTTTGTTGGCGCTTCATTTCTTTGTCATTAGCGTTTCCTTTGCTGCTGTTGCAACGGTGGCAACACAAGCTATTGGCGCTTTCTGCGTTTTAGTGGTGGTGCTCATGATGCTAGACCTCCTGCAACTGGATGCTTCACTCAACCTAGCCTAACCAGAGCAGGTCCTTCCGACACTCTCGTTTGTTATGCTGCGACGCCGAGCTCACTAACTCGCCTTAGCCGGC